ATGGCTTTGATTAACCTTGCTAAGAAAAAGCAAAAAGACATCCAGAGCTCACATTCTGGAGGTGCTGCTGGTAGATTCCGGACTGACAATTTTATGCACAGATTGTCAGGAAGAAAAGCCAAACATTATTTTCATTCTTGCGGTTTAATTCACGTGCTTCAATGCCATGTTAGCATGCTTGTAAACCGATGTCATGATCAATCAGACAGTAAGCAGTATGCACTTCTCTCAGCTAGTTGTGCAACATCCTCTCAGCAGACATGAAATAACAAGACAAACTACCACGTAGGAGCTGCTTTCCTGTGGCTCATGTCCGGAAGTTCTGTCTACCCAGAATTATTTGCTCAACAAATGATCAACAAGCATCTACACAGTGCAAGGCACCATAAGAAGTTGAAAGCTGTCCTTGGTCCTCCCAGGATCCTACAGTCTGAAGAAGAAAAGGAGCCAGGTACCCAGGCACAAGGCCCTGTGTGAGAGGGACCACAAAGACCACGGGAGAGTTAAAGGAGAGCCCAGTCAATGTCTGACCCCGTGGTAACCAAAGCCAGGAACGGCATGGATAAATAAAACCCACAGACAACCCCCAATTTAAATTAATTAAACAGGTCAAAGCTTTTCAAAAGATTAACAGGTAAATCTCTCTTAATTAGCCTTCAACACACCTACTGGTACCTAAGACTGGTTTCTTAGAGGAAAGAAGGACTACTGGTTATCAAAGGTCAGCAGAGCAGCAGAGACCAAACACCAACTGAGGGAGAAGAGAATGATATGCAAAAAGGAAATAACTTTAGGTCGGAAGTTTCTGGTGCTTATAGTATAGGACAGACATATAGTGATATGGGTGCGCATTGCCTGGTGTACAAAATCTCAGACAGAAAGACTTACGAACCAAGGGAAAGACAGAACAAAAATACCTTTCAGGTTTGTTAAAGTCCTCTGATGCAAAGCTCAGTTTTATGAACTCTGTCTTCACTTGTGAAAGGAGAAAATGCTACAGTTTAGGAAATGGATAAATACTGCCAAAATTTGTTTTATTTCTTACAACCTTGGGAAACAAAATATTTTAATTTTCTTGTTCCCTTTATTTTCAATGGCCAAATTCCCTAATTTCTTCTCCAAAAAGAGTACAGCATTCTACTTTATGGAGGGTAAAAAAAAGACTGCTTTCATGATATGCCATCCTCATCTTGTTTGGAATGCTGGGATACTGCTGCTAAAGGTTTTTTTTAACAGCTTCATTGGGATATTACTTACATACCATAAAGTTTACCCACGTAAAGTACACAGTTCAGTGGGGTTTAGTATGGTTATTATATTGCAACCATCACCATGATCTAATTTTAGACATTTTCATCCCAAAACAAAATCTTAAACCCATCAGTAGTGACCCTCTATTCTCCCCGTCCCCTGGCAACTATACCTCCTCATAGGGAATTAAGTGAAATAAGTACATGAGAAGAGCTCAAGAAACACAGCTATTACCATCAAGATGACTTTTTTAATAGAAAGGAGTAGAGTAAGAAAAGAATTGAGAAAATCATTTGATCCTTGCCATTTGCTTTTACTTCGGTCTCAACTTTCAGCCTAACCATGAAATATTCATGTCTAATAAATGATAATGTCTGAAACACTTAAATTGTTAATGTAGCCTCTTTTATATGAACACGTGTTATCAGTTAGGGTTAGATTCAGCTGTGAGGAACAGAGACCTGAAACAATGATTTAAGTAAATTAAAATGCATTTCTCTTGTATAGAAAAGTCCAGAGGCAGGCAGCACAGTGCCGAGCATGCTAGCTCCGGTCCATAAAGTCCTCACAGACTCAAAAATCTTCTAGGTCACCATTTGTACACCCTTTGGGTATTGGCCTTGTTCTCATGATTCAGCATGGTGGCTAGAGCTCGAGTCATCATAACTGTGGTCCAGGGACAAGGGTGGGAGAAGGGATAAACAAGAAAGAGAAGGCAAAGAGCACACACCAGTTTCCAAAAGCATCCTGCAAGCTACCAAACAACCCTTCTACTCACATTCTATCATCCAGAACTAGCCACCTGGCCTCCTCTGGTTGCATGGGAGGCTGGGAAATGTAGACTTTATTCTGGATGGCCTGTGCCCAACTAAGAGCTGTGAGTTCTGATAAGAAGAGAATGAATATTAAGTGTAACTAGCAGTCTCTGCCACAACACACAATACGCTAGAAACTCAAAATATAATAAATGGGTATTTTAAAAGGAGGGTATCACTGACATCACTAAGTGCTAATTATGAGAATTTTGCAGAACTCAGCTGTAAAGATTTACAAAAACAGTGGAAGAACTAGTACTCAGAGGTGAGTCACAAAGGAGATGAAAAGCTGTTGATAAACTGCTTGGAGATAACTAGTTCATCAACAGTTCTTCTCATCTCCTTTGTGGACGAGGACATGAAAGAAAGATCATTGATGCTTCAGAAAGTGACGCAGTGGTAAAAGTGGTCCTATTTTTTGATCCAATAGACTCAATTCCTGCATTGTCTTCAACAGTGAAGTAAAATACATGCACAAATATGTTTGTTGAAGAATATTCAGTAAGAGAAAATAAATAACTGTACAGCTGAATTGAATTACTAAACAAAACACAGTACTATATTATATAGCCATTAAAAATAAAACCACATAGGGACTTCCCTGGTGGCGCAGTGGTTAAGAATCCGTCTGCCAATGCAGGGAACACAGGTTCGATCCCTGGTCCAGGAAGATCCCACATGCCGGGGAGCAACTAAGCCTGTGCACCGCAACTACTGAGCCTGCGCTCTAGAGCCCGTGAGCCACAACTACTGAGTACGCATGCCACAACTGCTGAAGCCCGCACACCTAAAGCCTGTGCTCCACAACAAGAGAAACCACTGCAATGAGAAGCCTGCGCACCGCAACTACTGAGCCTGCGCTCTAGAGCCCGTGAGCCACAACTACTGAGCCCGCACGCCACAACTGCTGAAGCCCGCACACCTAGAGCCCATGCTCCACAACAAGAGAAGCCACTGCAATGAGAAGCCCGCGCACCACAACGAAGAGTAGCCCCCGCTCGCCACAACTAGAGAAAGCACGTGCACAGCAACAAAGACCCAACACAGCCAAAAAATAAATAAATAAATAAAATTTAAAAAAAATAAATAAAATAAAACCACAGACAAACTTTATCCTAAGAAACGAACAGAAATTTTTTTATTGATTATAATTAGATATACATTAAATGTATATAATGAGCCATGAATTTAACCTTGTAACACTGACCAACTGGGTTTGGGGCTCCAATCCCCAGCTCAGTAGAAAGTTAGATGAGCTTTACATAAAGTCAAGTTTTTAAAAATATAAATAATTCTCTGTTCTGTGGTTTTGAAGAATAAAAAAGAAATTTAAATCAACATATAGCACCAATCTAGCTAAAATGACATATCATGTATGACTTTAACCAGAACTGTAATAAGCTACAAAGCTAACTCTTCTGAATTTACCTCCTTTCCTTTCCCTGTATCCCTTAACGGCACTAAAAATGAATAGATCACTGACAACGTGGAGACTATGAGGCAAAGGAGAAACTCTAACAGTTAAAGAAAAAAACAGGGGAAAGAAGCAAACTGATCAAAATTAAATCATCAGCTCCAGAACAACAACAGTTAAAACTGCAATCTTTTAGAAAAGGTTTGCCTCCTCTGAGACACTTGTTTGTGCTCTTCTTTCCCAAAGTGTGAGTTATGTGCCTTATCATGTTCCATCTTTTGCCATGGCTGCCAGGAGGCTCCATTGTAAAATGGCCTATTTTAACACTTACGGCTAGCATTTTAGCATTCCCTTCTTTTCCTTGGTTCTGATTTTCAATTTCTAGATGCACTTTACTAGCTTCATTATTATACATCTGTTGAGAGTCACTTCAAGTTCTTTATAGGAAGGAGCAGGGTAAGTAAAATAGACTCCCTGGAATCTTTTATATTCCACCAAAAATACCATATTGTCTAGCTCCTCCTATGTGAGCTCATCAGAAGTAACCACTGCTCAAAGCTCTTATGACAGACTCTGCTTGACTCCGCCGTGCCAGCTGACACCTTCATGATCTCCCCAAGGAGACATCTGGCCTTAAAACACAAACACCAAAAAAAAAAACCCCAAAAAACACAAACACCATGTTTCATCCTGATGTAGGGCCTGTGGTTAGAAAGTGATTGCTATCATTTTCTATTCATGTTTTCTCATTAGAAAAAACAAGTACATTCTATTCTAATTCTTCATCACAGATATTTCAAACCATCTAATGCATGCCCTTTATAACACTGAACTAGCTGCCTTTGTAAAGGCTATAGATTTTTATCCTGTACAAATTATTTTACAACACAGAGTACAAAGGGAAAAATACCAGGAGATTCAATCACTCTCTCTGGTTTTATTTAAAGGAAAAATTCTCTTCCCTCCACCAAATGATGATTTTTTTCTTTTCTATCCATGCCATTGTATCACGTTTTGAAAATCATATAAAATACAAACAATCCCAAAACAAGCAAAATACATCATTTGGTGGCACATTCACTTATTAACTCTTTCAGTAAATATGCATGAAGAACCTACTATGTGCCAGGCCCTAGACAAGGCATAGACCCTGTTTGCCCTTTTCCTAAGAGTATCATTTTGGGCAACACAAAGGGTTTTGTTCAGAGTTGATGTTCTGCTTGCACACTGCAGTATGGTTGTGCCAGTTCTTTTTCACGTTTTCTTGTACCTCAAGTGTCTTCTGTGTCCCCCTGCCAACTGGTCTCTTCTTCAGCACCCAGATCTCCTCTGTGAACTCACACTGGCACACACAGTGCCTAGGGCACTACTCCAGTAGTTATGGACTAGTACCTGTTTTGTATCACTTGATAAATACTTTTAACACTGCCCCAGTTTTGCTTCTCTTTATTTCCGCTTGACCCACAGATGCAGCACTGCAGCCTCATTCACCCACCTCACCCATTGCTTCCCATCTTCTCATGCCACCTCTTCCCCTCTCCCGGACACAGCACATCTTCAGGAGATCAAAGACTTTTCCTCTTCACCTCTCAAGGGGATCAGAGTCTCTGTTTCTCCATTTGACTATAAGTGAGTAAGACAATCTGGGGCTTTCAGCCTTTCCCCCAAGGGATGTTCAAAGTGTCTTCTTTGTCAGTGGTATCAAGCAGGTTTTCTCTTATTATTTTGACAAATTTGAAATCATCACAGGGACTCTGCTTAAAACAAAAATGTGCCAGGAAAAAAAAAAGTAACTGTGGGTGACTAGACAGTCCACACCAGGGTTTGAAAATGATTAAAAACAGTAACTAGATCTTTGCTAGGGCAGAATCCCAAACTAAGGCACTGGAGGGCAAGAGTGACAGATGCAAAATCTGAGGAGCGGTTCCCTCGAGGATTATGCAAAACGCCACCGGCCTTTCACGCTTTGATGGAGAGGCACTCGTTTCTCCAACTTCCATCACACTAAATTCAAGCGTAGTTTACAGACAGCAACTGGACTGAAAGGTAATTGGGAGCTGAAAATAGAGAATTTGCCTCATTATAATAATCCTTTACCAGAAATGTTTTGCTTTGTAAAAAAGCACTGTTCTCTGGGCACCTGTTGAAAGGAAAAGCCATTAAAGATTTTCAGGGGGTTACCGTTTACAGTGTTTTTAAGCTATGAATGCTAAAAAGCCTATAAAAAATAAATACCTTTGCATTTACTTTTAAAAATTCTATTCTGATCAGGGGCCCAGGATGACTGAATCCCATTTCAGGTAAATAAAATGTGAGAGCAATAAATTCAAACCATAAGCCTAGTCTGATCACCTGACTTCCCTCTAATGCCACTTTTTTTTCTACTTCTCTTTTCCTTTCCACTCCTAACACTCCTTCCTCAATATCAGGCACTCCACCACGCCTTGTACAACCTTTTATAAGAGGCAGGGTATATACTGAGGAAGGGAAGAGACAAAATCCTTCAACAGTTCTTCTCTTCTGCCACCCCTGTAATCTGACCAGCCCCTGGAGATACCCTGAGGGTGATGGTGATGGTGGGGGTAATGATGACAGTGACTACCACTATGTATCTACTCTGTTCCAGACATGTTAAAAATATAGTCTCTCTAATTCTCATAAGAGCTCAATAAGGAATAAATACTTTTAAAATCATTTTTTGATTGCAAGTAATAGAAAACATGGCTAACGGGAACTTACATAAATAGGGGCCTATTTTCCTTGCATAACAAGAAATATGGCTATAAACAGTTCCACAGATGCTTAGGGGGCTCAGTAATGGTAGGACTTGTGGTTGACATCTCTGACTTTCCTGGTCTTCTGCCTCACAGTCACAAAATGGCTGCAGCAGTTCCAAGCATCACATCCTAGCACAGTTGCATTCAAAGCAGGAAGCAGAGAGTAGCATGGGCAGAGGTCCTCCTCCTCTACCTCCCTTTTACCCAGGGAAAAAAATCTTCTCCCAGAAGACTTTCCCTTACATTTCATAGACCAGAAGCTCACATGTCTGGCCCTAAAGCCAGGGGCAAGCCCCATCCTTCCTGAGTTTAGGTGACCTCTGCCTGGTTTTGTTAACAAGGAAGGAAAGAATAATGGCTTTGGGGCAAGCAACAAACAATCTGACACAGTACTACCATCTCTAAACTACAACTGAGGAGACTGGATGCCAGTAGTAAGGGGCAGAACAAGGATTCAAAACTGGGGATCAGGCTGTTTTCTAATCCCCTGAGCAACCTCTGACTGCAACAGTCCCTCCTGCTGGGACCTAATTCCCTCTGTCTAGAGTGCTCCCCTCCTTTTTTTCTTTCATTCTACATATTTTTTCTTACAATAACCATACTGAGTCTCTGAATTCAAATTTCACCCAGGACCGTTGAGGTCAGCCCCTTGCCACATATTTGTAAGAACTTAGTTCAAATCCGACAGGTCCAGAGCCCCTGAGGTACAGTGTCTGCTCTGCAGAAAACAGCCACTCCCTAATTATCCTGTATCAGGGGCTGGCGACTTGCTCTCCCCAGGATCACCAGGAGAGCATCCATCCTGTTAATGGAGCCACTGAGACGTGGGGCAAGCAGAGCCTGACAAAGACGTCACCCTCAAAAACACAAAGGGGCGAAAAAAAGCCTTTCGTAAACCTGAAAACGTCAGGCCTGTGCCTCCACGTCAGTCCCAGGTGGGGTGGATTTAGCCTTCACCGCAACTGGCCCTGGAGGCAGCAGGGGAGGGAGGGCAGATTCCCAGGGCGTGCACTTCCCGCCCGCGTAGATTTCCTAACCCTCTGTGCGCCACTGTCCTTAACTGTACAATGGAGATGACAACGGACTCTATCTCCCAGCACTTTTTGAGCCTTATAAGACATAATATATGTGAAGGGATTAACAAACTGCTCACTCGATGAACGCCAGTGCTTTAGCAGGAGTGGCGGCAGCGGCATCAGTAGGAGAAGGAAACAGAACCAAAGTGCTTGTCCTGTTACCACCAGGGTTTTTTGTTTTGTTTTGTTTTTTTAACATCTTTATTGGAGTATAATTGCTTTACAATGGTGTGTTAGTTTCTGCTTTATAACAAAGTGAATCAGTTATACATATACATATGTTCTCATATCTCTTCCCTCTTGCGTCTCCCTCCCTCCCACCCTCCCGATCCCACCCCTCCACGCGGTCACAAAGCACCGAGCTGATCTCCCTGTGCTATGCGGCTGCTTCCCACTAGCTATCTACCTTACGTTTGGTAGTGTATATATGTCCATGCCTCTCTCTCGCTTTGTCACAGCTTGCCCTTCCCCCTCCCCATTTCCTCAAGTCCGTTCTCTAGTAGGTCTGTGTCTTTATTCCTGTCTCACCCCTAGGTTCTTCATGACATTTTTTTTTCTTAAATTCCATATATATGTGTTAGCATACGGTATTTGTCTTTCTCTTTCTGACTTACTTCACTCTGTATGACAGACTCTAGGTCTATCCACCTCATTACAAATAGCTCAATTTCGTTTCTTTTTATGGCTGAGTAATATTCCCTTATATATATGTGCCACATCTTCTTTATCCATTCATCCAATGATGGACACTTAGGTTGTTTCCATCTCCGGGCTATTGTAAATAGAGCTGCAATAAACATTTTGGTACATGACTCTTTTTGAATTATGGTTTTCTCAGGGTATATGCCCAGTAGTGGGATTGCTGGGTCATATGGTAGTTCTATTCTTAGTTTTTTAAGGAACCTCCATACTGTTCTCCATAGTGGCTGTACCAATTTACATTCCCACCAGCAGTGCAAGAGGGTTCCCTTTTCTCCACACCCTCTCCAGCATTTATTGTACCACCAGGGTTTTAAAGATGCAAAGGTGCTACCAAACTGCCTCGCTGTCCACTCAGCCTACTGTCTCCCTAAATTCACTCAGCTATCAACAATCACCCAAAACCACACACACAGAAAGTATGAAATTTGATAGCACACATCTCGTTTTACTTTTATTTTATGCTGTGTATATGCTTTTCTTGTATATTTGTTTTGTGTGTGTGTGGGGGGTATATCCCAAGGAATCAAGAGAATGTACATAACAGGTACCGCATTGAAAGTAAAAACAAATAAGAAACACCCCCGTACCCATCCCACAGTTTAAGAAATAGAATAAAAATCAGGATCTTTGAAGCCCTTTTTGTCCTTCTATGATTCCCAGCCCTTCCTTGCCTCCCCCCACCCCACCTGCTCCCACCCAGCACAGGCAAACGCCAATCTGAAATTTGAATGAATCATTCCTTTGCTTTTCTTTATAGTTTCACCATCTATCTATCTATCTATCTATCTATCCCTAAGCAATAAATCACTTAATTTTGCTTTATTAAACTTCATGTAAATGAAATTATACAGTAGGTATTCTTCTGCAACTTGCTTTTTCATTCAATATTTATTTTTTGAGTTTTATCCATGTTTATACACATAACTATACTTCCTTCATTTGCATTGCTATTAATAATAATCCGTTGTAGGAATATAACACAATTAACTTACACATTCTCCTGTTTATGGATATTTGCCCTGGTTCTAGTCTAAAGCTCCTAACCTCAAGATAGGCTTACACAGTTCCCAAATATTCAGGATAACCATATAATTTGTTGTCCAAACTGAGACACACTTGAGAGTGAAAGGAAATGCTATTAATAATTATAGTAGGACAAGACGCATAAACTATTTTGTGTGTCACCCTATAAATACTGAATATTATCAAAGGATTTCTTTTTTTTTTTTGCAGTACACGGGCCTCTCACTGTTGTGGCCTCTCCCGTTGCGGAGCACAGGCTCCGGACGCGCAGGCTCAGCGGCCATGGCTCACGGGCCCAGCCACTCCGCGGCATGTGGGATCTTCCCAGACCGGGGCACGAACCCGTGTCCCCTGCATCGGCAGGCGGACTCTCAACCACTGCGCCACCAGGGAAGCCCTATCGAAGGATTTCTTAATCAGCCCCCCAAGGTGAAGATCGAGGCATTTAAGTCAATCCTGATGGTTCACATTTCAAAAGCTGTTAGCATCTGCATCTGGAAGTATAACCCTGACCGAGAGCCCTAACAGCTAATTATTTCTTCTAACCTGGGAAGAAGAAAAGCAAACTCTTTAAGAGGTAAGATGGAGAAAAGGCACAGCTTCCCAGCCTCTGCTGTCTCAGACATTCACAGTTTAATTATCATTGCTTAAAGAAAATTCCAGCTACCATGATAACAACAACAAAGATAACATTTGAGAGGCCTTAAAATCCAAATCCTTTTTCTGAGCCAGTGTGAGGCTAAAGGCCCAGCATCTACTGCCTCATTTAATCTTTACTACATCCGTGGGTGGCAGGTATGAAGCTCAGAGAGGTGGAGTAACTTGTTTAAGGTCACAATGCATGTAAGCGGCAGAGCCTCAAAGATCGTTTCTCAGTGGTTGACCATATAATTTACTGCACAAATCAGGACATTTCTGGGAGTGAGAAGGGGGTGCTATTAACAACTGTACCAGGAAAGCAGGTGTAAATGGCACCATGACACGGGATCGCTCTAGTTCTAACTTTCCCATCTAGTCTCATAATCTTCCAAGTTCAGATACAATTAACTTGGGGGACTGACCAGATTTTGGACCCTAATCTCTGGTGTTCACACTCCTTTTGGGTAGAGATGCACCTCCCTGGAAGGATACACAGAATCCCTCCCCTGTTCCTCTTCAGTACACCTGGAAGACCTGAGAGACAACCCAGAAGCATCCTTCCATCCAGCACAGCAGGTTGGAGACGGTCATCATTTGCTTCCCTGAGATTCATAATTAAATTAGAGCAACATTCCTCCTCCCAAAACATTCTGCCTGGAGCTGCCAGCAGCAGAGTTAACGTCCCATTCAGTGGAGCAATCATCACTCAGAGAGGCTGCAACCACATTCTCTGACTGGAGGATCTGAAGCCCTTTCCTTCAGCAGGTCCACTGAGACCCCCAGCATTTGCTCCTTTCTGCGTCTGTATGTATATGTGTGCTTTCTCACTCCATATTTATC